GGCAGTAGCATTTTACATTAATATTCATGGGGGTGATTATTAAACAAGGAAAAACTGCTAAGAAAATTGATTATTACTCTTTTGTGCAAAAAAAATTGTTGTTGAGTGTAACATATAATTAACAATGAAGGAAACGACGACTACATAAATACCCCTTAACGTATTCATTTCTTGGTTGTAATATTGATTCCAAATGACCATATAATAAATACAGAGTTATATTGCTGTAGTGGTAAAAGTCTTGTAGATAAATAATGAAAAATATCTCCAAGGCAAGTTTCATTACCCTGAAGCCTTATACAGATACAGTCTAAGAGAATTGGCCTTGAAATTGCCATCTTATGAACACATATTAATTCTGATATTATTGTGAGACATTCCCTTCCACTTTGTATCAAATTTAATTGTTGAGATATAACACGGTTCATTAGCGACAATTAATAATTAATTAAGGTATACGTTTCAATAAATTTTCATGGAATTTATTGCAGATGGTCCACTATGTTTCTACATCCACACTCGTCTATCAAGTAAGAACCAATGCAGGGCGACCCAATCCCCCAGATCCATTTGGCCAACTTTTGAGAAAAGCAGGAAGCATGGGAGACGTACGCACATGTCCAGTAAGTAATAAAATATGCAAACTTATGAGTGTCAAACGTCACCCTACAAGTTACTCATATTTCTGTATTGTTGCAGAGTGCATGTGGTGCAGTTATCCAAATTGGAAGAACACTCATGAATCACCCTGAAATCGTTTCCATTGGATTGGTATGGAATTCCGAAAGGCCAACCCTTGAACATATCATGGAAGTGTTTTCCACCATCGGAACGACTTTACGACTGAGTGATATTTTCAACACAGTGGCGGATAGTCGCTGGTCTGAAAATTCTATGCACAATCTAGTGGGTGTGGTAACATACTATGGAAAACATTACTCAACGTTTTTCTTCCACACTAAACTAAGAGTGTGGATTTACTTCGACGATGCCACTGTCCGAGAAGTTGGACCTAGATGGGAACAAGTGGTGGAAAAGTGTAGGAAGGGAAGATACCAGCCTCTTCTTCTTCTGTATGCCCTACCTGATGGGACACCTGTTAACACTGAAAATGCCCCTAAACAAGTTACTCCATTCTTCAACGATAAGGTGACAAAAAAACCTCCACCACAATCGGTTTTACGACGTTCAATCACACCCAGCCCCGAAAAACCCATGGTGGGAAATACAAGACGTGCCATTACCCCCAANTTCATGGGGGTGATTATTAAACAAGGAAAAACTGCTAAGAAAATTGATTATTACTCTTTTGTGCAAAAAAAATTGTTGTTGAGTGTAACATATAATTAACAATGAAGGAAACGACGACTACATAAATACCCTTTAACGTATACATTTCTTGGTTGTAATACTGATTCCAAATGACTATATAATAAATACAGAGTTATATTGCTGTAGTGGTAAAAGTCTTGTAGATAAATAATGAAAAATATCTCCAAGGCAAGTTTCATAACCATTAAATATATTACCCTGAAGCCTTATACAGATACAGTCTAAGAGAATTGGCCTTGAAATTGCCATCTTATGAACATCTATATTATTCATGAAATACTTTCAACGCTTATATTATTTCTGAGTACTAAATCCTGAATACACATCTAAAAATGATGAATACGAGTGCGAATATTATCAAATAAAACAATAATATTCAGTAGGTACTTGAATACTGATTACACAAATATTGTTTCAAATAATAATCACTGACTCACTGACACATTTTATTTTCGAGTAATACCTAAAAACAAGCTGTAGGAGTGATACATAAAAGTATTTTTTTAAATGAGGACTTTTCTTCTAGCTCTAGATAATTTAACAAATTCTTAACGGTTTCTGTCTTATACCACGTAACGCTTAAGACATCGCTTACGTCATTCTTTTGTGACTGATTCTGTGTAAGGACAAAGCAAATGTTCTAAGGACAAACGGCGACGCCATAGAGTCGTAACTACGCTGTAAATAGGTTTCACAACACGCTTTTATCTCGCTATATATCACGATCTGAGCAGTAAATTGGACCGGAGCAAATAGGTGGATATCTACATCTGTTCGACGCGTATCAAAGCAGCGGTTGTTAAACGATGTTAATTATTCAAATACACCTACGCGCACTTTATCAGTAACACGGAAACTGTTTTAATTTTTTTTACTTTTTAATAAGTGGTGTGAGCAATATNAAAAGTGCAGGAAAGGAAGATACCAGCCTCTTCTTCTTCTGTATGCCCTACCTGATGGGACACCTGTTAACACTGAAAATGCCCCTAAACAAGTTACTCCATTCTTCAACGATAAGGTGACAAAAAAACCTCCACCACAATCGGTTTTACGACGTTCAATCACACCCAGCCCCGAAAAACCCATGGTGGGAAATACAAGACGTGCCATTACCCCCAATCCTGATGGATCGTCATTAAACCATCAGAAACCACCACTGCCAAAGCCTTACAACGAATACCAAAATCTTTCAATAATTCAAAAGAATTTATACGAAAACCACGTAGCAGCAGATGTAGACGTGGTCGATGGGTGCATGGGAAGAAAAGATCCTGAATATGTAACAAGAAAATCATTAGATTTCAATAAACCGCAAGTCGGCGTGCACAGAACCTTAAGCAATGGCTCGTCTTCTGGAGTCGAGGGCATGACTATTCCAGATCACATGAATATTCCAAGAAGAAGAGATAGTGGGAATTGGAGCGGTGACCGTAATAGTGCATCATCCGCTTCTTCAACGACAATGGAAAATCCTTACTTATACCTTGTCGGTAAGGTACCAAATGGAACAGGAAGTGTTCCGGGCAGTCCAACCAGAACAAAAAGTGATTCTTCCAGTGGGAGCAGTGGAGTTTACGATGCGGGATACGACTCATACTCTCTGTCCTCGAATGACAGTTCTTCAATGACCACTTTGCAGCATCTAATGAAAATGGGGCACTTAGCAAAAATTCCTGAAGATTATAATAATGTGTCAACAAATCAAACGCTCCAGCAGAGCTGTGACGTACTGTGCGATGAAGCAGACGAGCTTTTAGTAAAGTCTCGACAACTAGAAGATGAACACGACTTAGTTCTAGCTTTAGCTTTGTGCAATGCAGCAGCAACAAAAGCAAGAGCAGCCATGAACGCTCCATATAACAATCCGCAAACCTTAACTTTGGCCAGAATGAAACATAACACTTGTATCATGAGAGCTCGGAGCCTCCATAGAAGGATGACACAATCCCAAAATGCAAACAAAGAGAATCCTCCTGAAATTAGACACACTCGTGAAGGAAGTAGTGCAAGTGGTCGTCATTCACGTCAAAATTCTAGGGATAAAGGCAACCATTCCAGGCAAAATAGTCGAGAGCTTTTGGTACCAGAGAAAGAAAAGGTACAATCGTCAAAGAATATAGAAATTTATGCTACATTACCCAAGAAGAAGGATGCATTGAAAAATAAACTAACCATAAACATCGGCGAAGATGACGATTACATTTTGTATGACAAGCCTCCAAGTCGTGAATCTCGATCAATATTTTCAAGATCAAAGAATAAAGATCAGAAATTAAGGGAAAAGAGGTCGAGAAGTGAAGACAGAAACAAAATAACTAGAGACTTTTCCATTGCTCCTGAGATAATAACAGGAAAAGATACTCTCAAAAAGGCGAAAGAGGAGAAGGAAGAGAAGAAAGATAAAGATGGCAAGTCAAAGAAACAGCACAAAATTCGTCGCAAGCTACTCATGGGAGGTTTGATTAAACGCAAAAATCGTAGCATGCCCGACCTAACTGATGCAAATGCAGTGAATGACGCCCCTACTCATCCCCAACCACCTACATCTACAGTAGATGATAGTAATGTGGGCCTAAAAGGTGCAGGAGATAATCCAACTGGTATGTGTGGATATTTATCCGAAGGACATTTAGAGTTTGCTGGAAACAACGCAAATCCAAACTTGGAGAGGAGCAAGTTAATGCGGAAGAGTTTCCACGGAAGTGCTGGAAAGATTCTGACTGCAGCTAAAGTTCCGCCACCTCCGCCGCTCCGAACTACTTCCCAACTTAGCAAGTCTAAGTTGAATGGCGGAGAAGTCTGTGACGAGAATAGCGAGAGGCCTAAGTATCCACTACCCAACGATATCAGTTTTTATAATGGCCCCGAAAACTATCACTACAACGTAATAAAACAGGATTATATGAACCAGGAGCCTGTTTCTTTGCCATATTATCACGACAATTCTTACAACGACGATTCTTACTATCGTGCTTCCCCTAACACTGTGATTACTCGTGCAGATGTGTAACACGAACAAAGTCCGTTGATTTTCTAAGTACTCTTTGAAATTACAAGAACATTTTCTGAGATTTTGAGCTATGCCATTATTTGGTTTCTACGCATGAAACTGAAAGAGA